AGAGAGAGAGAGGAGGAGAGAGAGAGAGAGAGAGAGAGAGAGAGAGAGAGAGAGAGAGAGCTCTTTCCTATAAATCATAAGCACTACATCCTGTACCAACCTCAGTATCCTCAGGGAAATGCGAAGGCCAAATTGGGGTTGGACAGCCACCCCCGTCACCGTGAACCAGTAGTGTCCTGGGCTCGGTGCTTCCCCAAGCAGCACCCAAAGGCTGTAGCATAGCTCTGTGGCTGATGGAGCTGTGAATGAAAAAAGAACATTAAATATGAATAAAAAGGACACAATCGGATGAATGGATTGTGGGAAAGTGGAAAACTTGAGGGAGAAAAAGAAGCGGAGAAGGAAGGAAGATGATGACTGATGATTGGTGATGATGACTGATTGATGATGATGATGATAACGACAACGAATATGATGATGACAAAGATGATGATGACAATGATGATGATGACAATGATGATAAAGGTGAAGATGAAGATGATGATGCAAAGAGACCAAATAAAATCATGAAAATTATAAAAATAACAATAGTAACAGTATGATATTCGTAACTATTGATACTCCTATGAAATCCATTCTGTATGATACTCTAAAACAAAATTATATGAAAAAACTAGCTGATAAAAATAAAAGCATACTTTAGAAAAGATACCAAAATTATAAACTCAACAAAAACACTGTCCATAATCATGAGACGTAATTTCATTCATCAAATAATAAAACAACATTTATACGCATGCCAACTCCTTACCTGTGATGTTGATCCACTTGGTGCCTTCCAGCACTCCTGGGATGCTCCTGACAATGGCATTGAGCTGCGCATTAAGCTCCGCCTCCCACTCATCCACCTGCACCTCATCCCTGTAACCTCCCAGGTGTTCCACCCAGCGCCGTTCCTCCACCCAGCCCGAAAAGAAGCGTCCTTGCAAACAGTCCTCAATGTACTCTAGTCCCCCAGGTGCAAACTTGCACTTAACTTGCGTCTTGGTGGTAGTACGGCCCTTCTTCCGGGAGGACACCGAGGAATCTGAGTCCCTCTCTTCCTTAGCTAGACGAGATGCCTTAGACTTCTTCGATTTGCTCTTGGTCTTGGCAGAGGCCTTGGGCGATGAAGAGGCCTGGGATGCCTGATCCTTGCTTCCCTCCTCTCCATCCATTGGCTCTGGTGGGCCTGGAGTGGCGTGAGGGGGCCCTCCTAATTCCGTCCGTAGGGCGAACGAGAACGTGTGAGTTACAGCAGCTGATTCCAGATCATCAGTCGCTCCATCTCCTACCCTGGCCTTATCTGTGATTCCACTTCCCTTATCTTCAGGTTGCACTGTACCCTCTTCTAGCTTATCTCTAGAATTTCCTCCACTACATGCTTCTTGCTCCTCCTCCTGTCCCACTTCTTTATCTCTCCCTTCTGTTGCTGTTTCCTCCTCCTTCTCTACAGCTTCAATATTGCTCCTTGTAGACTTCGAAGGGACAACCTCTCTCACTGTTGGGAGTGAATCAGAAAGGCTGTCTTCGCAGTCGATGCTTGGAATGTCTTCCAAGTCATCGAAGGCAAGGGCAGTCTTTTCAACTTTGTCTGGCTCCTCCTCTGACATACTGAAATAACCAAACAACACTGTACAAGACAATCACAATGAAGGCATTTAAAAACATGAGTCAATCAAATGCATATGCATAAGGCAGAAGACAATTGCATCCACAACAAATATAACATTTTTGTTCCCCACAATAAAGATCCTTTATACATTATTTCTATTGTATCCTAAAATAAAAATACTTCATTTATTCTTATGTGAAAGTTAAATTTATTACAATTTTAAAAATCATTCCCTATTAGGAGAAATACATAAACAACCAGAGAAGAAAATCAAAATAAATAAAGAAAAAAGTAAAATGCACAAGGAAACCTAAACCTGGATATATTTTCACATCAAATTTAAAATTATACAAAGAGGTCAGTATCAAGAACTAAATATTAATAATATAATAAAATAGAAAATGGCATAAGAACATACCTTATACAGTCTATATCATTATCATGAACCCTTAGGTATTTATCATTCTTGAATCTCCTTGAGCTCTTTGTTCTCAATATACTTTGTCTTCATACATTACAGTATCTATTACAAAACTTATTATTCTAACATTTTCATATTTGTATTTTGCAGCCATCTATCATTAAATATCCTTTCTTGTTCTTTTTTAAAATGTTCCCGCATTATGGCAAAAACAGTGTACTCCCCTGTCATGGTACCCTTCACAACATTCTCCTACCAGTCCTGCTGGAGCATTTACAGAGAAAGGAGGTATATAGTTTCTCTGAGACAGGACAGTTATGCCTTCGTAAAAATGGTGCCTCACCAGTGGCCCAGCACACAGTATCAATAGTATTATTTTCTTCTATCGTGGAACAGGCTACTGGAGGATCACAATTACAGTGCTCCACCAATGCCCAAACTCAAATAGGGTAATGATTAATTTGGTTGTGTCTTGGGCCACACAT